AACGCGATGAAGTCAATTAATATATTTTTATCATGTAAACTGATGTGTCAAATAAATTTTTCATATTTCCTGATAAAATAATTATCAGTGATACAGGAAAATGGAAAACAACTCTCACAAAGGATCTAATAATAACTGAAAGAGAAAGGGCACATTTTCTCATGTAATGCATAATAAAGTTATAACCAAGGTATTATATGGACACGCAAACAATGAAGTGTAAATCTAAGTAATTTATAGTAAATGTATTGATAGCTTTTTTATAAACAATAGATAGTGAATGTCACACTTACTACAATATCCGGAAGTTCTGTTACATACAGGATCGGTACAACCAGTATAACAGGGATCACAGGATGGACCAAAGAAACCATCGTCGCATCCTTGTATGATAGAATCGAAATGGCAATTAGTACTTAATGCTATGAAATTTACAAATTCATAACAACTTCAATAAAAGCTTCATGAATTCTTTTTTCATTATTAACCGTCAGAGTTATTGCTACTTTGACATAGGAATTTTATTCATTAAGCAAATGAACATCCATTTCTTGAGATATTCTTTAATGCAAACAAATACACTGCATGAAAAATGCCCACGCTCTTTGTTCACACGCGGTAATATATAGGTAAAACAAACCATATCAATTACAACAGCTTTGAACGGGTAGTTAAAATACTGTTGCAACGTTTATTATCAGGAAGTATATCATTATTTGAAATGCGTATTTACTTAAAGTTCATTCCGAATGATATTTGTTCCGATGTCAGGTCATTTAAAGGTTTTAACTCCGTTATAACCACATTTTATTATTCAGAATACATCCACAGTAGTACTACTTCAGTTAAGAGCTAAACGTTATTAAAGATAACAACGAAAAACACTAAGTACCACAGCTGTCGCACAGCACAGTAGTTTTTCGTATATGCAGTGATTTCCCCTTAAATTTGTTTGTTAGACATAACCAGCATAGTTGTGCCTCAACACTTCCATTGACCAGGTAGATCAGCCTGCTTGGCCAATTGTTTGACAATATGACGTACAGGGTTTGAACCCCGGCTGTCCCCTCTGAATTTCTATAAACAGAAGCCTATTGTTGATCATATTTTGTCTATATCCTCTCTATTAGTTTTCCTAAAAATCCCGCAAGGTATGGTTTCTTTTCAGAAATCATTTATCGCAAGTTATGTCGGGAAAATCGGTTTTCAGTGTATAGTTACAGCTTTTGTCAGTGGTATGGGAATCATTAAAAATTTAGGATGTCAATGCAGAATGCAGAACAAACACACGGGTCAAGAAAACCGCAATTAGAACTCAAAAGCAATAAACCTGAGGCAAAATATGAACAAACATTTTTTACATGGAGACTCTTCAATAGGAAGATTTCCGGAAGGGTAAGCGTCTTTTGCTTTATCGACGACACCTGCCATGAGAATCTAGTTCAAATCCAATTAAAGTCACGTCTTCATAGCGATAACCGGGACCGTGACGGCGAAACAAAAAGGCACCTTACTGAACATAATAAATAGCATCGACCTTCATATGTCATAAAGGAATAGTATATTCCCCAATGATATCGTGACGGTAACTATCAATCTTACCCATAATCTTCATCGATCCTCTTAGCCATGTTGTTACTAAAGTTCGTGGAAAGCGGCTGGTATAGAAGAGTATATTGTATCCTTTATTTTAAGGTAAGGACGGTATATATATTAGCAATTTACTGAAAGCCTTGCCTGTATGAGTGATATTCCTCTCTTGTCGGTAGTGACCACTTCCCCCCTCCTGTTATCTTTATATTGACTTAAGCAGATTCTCAATACTATGTTCGTGCCCATGTTCGTACCCATGTTTGCACAGAAAGAAGCTATTTTCTCTTTGTTTATTGATTTTGAGTCCGATTAACAGTTATGTTTACCATTGGAAATAGTTTTGTTTTTTTACCCATGTTCGGATGCAGTTAATAACTAAACAAAATGTGCTTCCTTTCTTGTAACTTTTATACAAGCAAAGTAGTTTCACCCGTTGCACTTATTCTTAGTAATAAGGTGCAATCAATATACATATATACAATTATCTGTGCAAATTGTTCTGAATTTTACATTGGACAAACTGGTTGTGAATTACCTCAACGTTTGACATAGCACAGACAATAGACAACACGTGACCATCTTAGATGTTTAACTGTAAGTACACATATACATTCTTGTGCAAATGATAAGTTCCATGTAATTCGAACTACAGAAGAGACTATGCAAAATAATGTCAAAAGAATCATTGTTAATCGATAGACTAAAACCTGGGTAAAATTCCAACAGCACTGATCGTTTCGTTGCATGCGAAAAGTATGTTGCTATACTTATTCCTGTAACTATATATCTATTTTTGTAACACCATTTCTGTTCTTCCACAAATATTGACGTTAGAGTGCAATATAAATATGGCGTCTTGATGGACCTCTAAAGAGGTGAAAGTACTAGGGAAGTGCTAGGAAACTCTTTTTTATTTGTTTTGTACATATCAGTATTAAGATGAAGCCAATGTGGTAATTCTTACTTTTACTGCACGAGCTACCAATGTATTCGTCGCTACAACCATCAGATGAGAAACAGATTCCAGTGACACGGTTACATCCGGGTGTCTTACAATGACATGTTAGGAGACAGTCTTTGCCAAAAGTGTTTGCTGAACATTCTGAAAGTAAGGTAGCAGATTACAGCAGAAATAGAAATGGCCTGATCCTAAAAATAAAGGCCATGTCTCAGATAAACATGGATAGTGGATTCCTCCTGCACTACACACCTACATATATATATATATATAAAGGCGGATAAATATATTTATAAGCTTCATTATTGATACATTTTCTCAGAAGAATGAAAGTCTTTCCAAAACAAAAATTCCTCAAATTTGGGACTTGTGAAAACAATGGTTATCACATCAAAGAACACCCAAAAAATGCAAAAGAAAACGTGTTTTTAGCCCAAAATTTGACCCCCGCAGATATTTTCTTAAAAACTGTCTAAAATTAAATATCATAGGTCATTCCGGTAGATTTTTCACAACATTTACACGTATGCTGAGTACAAAAGTGAACTACATGTAAAGCTATATTTTGTTGTGTAGACACAGATTTATAAAATGGCCAAAACTGTCTCAAACCAAATAAAAACAAAATCTTGAAAAATTATGCTAATGTTAGTGCTCATTGTTTTTTTAAGTTTTGATACATGTTAAATTACAGGGTAAAGTCATTGTACAAATATATCACCCATGGCCAACGTGAGCTACTTTACATAGCTTAGTACCTATGCATGGTGAGCTACAGATACTATATTCATATTTAAGTACAACATGAAATAACTTCATAATTAAATGGCTATTATATATCAAACTTCTAGCTTGTTTTCCCACCAGTCTAATGATACCTGTATCATTATTATGTTGGTTTTTGCTAAAATTACTCTTTCAACAAATGGTATAGCTACAGGACATTTGATTGTCCAAAACTCTAAACATATTTTAGCTACATAGAAATTCTAAATGACATTTTAAACTTACGTGTGTCACATGACTCCCCCTTCCAGCCAGCTGCACACCCGGTAACGATACAATGACCTGTACCTGAATCACAACGAGGAGTTTCACAGTGACACATGGATGAGCAGTTTTCTCCAAACGTTGTGATCGAGCAACCTATAAGTAATGCAATATATAAATCTCTACTGTTTTACAGAACCAACAATTACCTAAAATGTATTCGTGATTGCAAAATACATGGGAATGGTCTTCATCTGAATTATCAAAAAAATTGAATGCTCACACAATTACAGTTTACAAACAAACAGACAAATTACACGTGACAATGGTATCAAAAGCCGTGACTAACCTTGACTGCAACTGGTTCCATGGTAACCAGCATGACATCCTTGTGTGTGACAGAGTCCGGTCACTCCGTTGCATCCGGGCGTCTTACAATGACATTCCTCAACACAGTTCTCCCCAAATGTAACTGATGAACAAGCTATATGAGAGAAAAATACATACTTTATTAATATGAATGCCTAATTGAACATACGTATATAAAATAATATAAATGATATAGTGCGCATATAAATAATCGTGAAATTGTAAGCATATTAAATGGAGATATGCATATCAGTTCTAGCTTTATACGTGCGCAGTACAGCTCACATTTCTGCTTAATAACACACGGCACAGATAGCATGTACTAATCCTTTATGAATAGGAGAAATACGAACAAAACCAATTTTCGAGGTAGTTATGATTCATCCCGAAGACAATAAATATAAAACCCTTAGGTTTGAAGAAACGTTTTCATCTTTATATATAAGTTCAGACAACAAGCCATAAGTTACGATAAGGAGTAAAGATAAAAACGTCGAATTTTTCGCCATGCAGGGCAATTAATGAGGATATATTTTAAATATTATCTTGTGAGGAGTACGGTAGGGCAAAAGAACCCAGAGGAAGCGCTTTCTTAGATGTTTTAAAAAAATTGTTTGTTTTCCCTTTCCTTATTTCAGACCGGTTTAAGCAATGATAACAGAAACACGCTTCTATTATTTTACACACCTTGATCACAATACCGTGGTCCAGTCCATCCCGCATTACAGTGTGCTAAATCACAAACTCCATTGTCAGGGTCACAGCCGTGTTTACAGTGGGTACAAGTGTACTGACACTGGTCACCATATTTATATGTAAAACAACCTGGCAAGTTAATTAGTTAAAAACGTATATTTATTTAAGCCTCAAATGTTGTGAGTAAACGCACATTCGCTCAACGATTGTTATTTTAATTTTAATTTAAATAAATAAAAAATAAAGAACATGGAACTAATTGCAAAAGATAATTTATTTGCATTTGTGTTGAATGCAAACTAAATGAAGTTGTAGTTTATTGTACAACACAAGAACCAAAAACTGCTTTACAATTTGTTTAACCTCACGTATTTAATACAAAGAAAGTTCAACAACGGAAGTTTAACCTATATGGAGTTTATGAGCCATTTCATATTTTGTATAAAAATCATCTCTGTCATTAAGGAACGTTGGAAGTTTAAAATTACCGTAAATATCGACCTCACACACGTCCATATACGCTAGTGTTGGTGCTGTCCTTGTGATGATTATCATCACTCTCCGACCGGTTCTGTTACACGAGGTGATGTTTTGAGTTAAGTTTGGGACGCCGACGTCCACATCCTCGTAACATTTGATACCAGACGGTATACCTGTATCGTTTGATATCCACAAGGCAAAGCCATCGGCACGAGCTGTCGACGATACAGATCAATTGAAAAATACAAGAGTCAGAGGTCAAACTTGAACAAAGTGTATATACCATTTCAATAATGACTATTTTACCTTCTAGGATTCGTGTTCACCGAAATATCAGTGAATGGTTACGTTCACAACAGACACACAGCGTCGTTATTCATATGTGATGCGACCGTTATTTATAAAGATCCTGCAGTATGATAAGTATGTGTGGTGTACGACGCTGACAGAAAGACAGGAAAGCAACATGAAGGCATTTGACTTTAACTATTACAGGCTTATGAATGTATGTATGGTTTGTCTCTACCTTAGGATAGTCTTATAAAGATAAAAATAGATATAAATGAATTAGTACCATGCAAATAAACACACACTGCCATTGGAAGTGACGTTTGCATAATCCTGGTCGTCCAACCAGGAAGGATGATTTCTTAACATTACGAAATGGGAAGTTAGTTATCATACCATTATTGTCAATTAGTTTATTACTTATAGAGATACAGTATTTTCAGTGTTTGTCGTTCGATCAGTTTTCTCATCGCTCGCACGTAGAGAAAATCTCGCATTGACACGAATTGTAAAACTGCAAGGTCAATTTACTACTATAAAATTAGTAGTGGTATAGGAACGACTCACCTGAACCTCTAAACACTATGTCGATTTTCTGTAGTCTTGCCTTAGAAGGTAAAGTCCCTCGCCACCAGACCATATTTGCCCCAGTGGAGGCCATACAAATACTTGGAGCAAAAGGACCGTAATTTCCGTCTGTTGTGCCGGACACAGGGAAATCTGGATTCACAGGCGTTGCATCCAATTCCAACTGATTCTTTAGGTTGACTGTAAGTGTGAAATTGAATTATCATTCTTTTGATTCTATTTTAATTACACACATGACTGAATTCAATAAAACATATCATGGTATATATTATGTGATATATTTTTTACAACAACGTAGTAAATGTGCATTGAATCTATTATAATTTCGATGTCTTGCTGTTACATGTATATGAAAATATGCAAGTTGTTACACGGAAATTAGATAACAGCTCATCATAGTCTTAACGTGCCATTTACCTCAGTAGTGGCCCTCTAAACCGCTATAAAGTAATGATTTATGTGACCTTTTAGATTATCGTACTCTTTTAACATGAATCTCTTTCTAGCACCGATAAGTTCGTCTTCGCAGTGGTTATATAGGCCTTTCCGATAACTAGGTTAGCTCTCCCTGTTTCCTACTTTCCCCGCTATGTGACGCTAGACATAGTTGACATGTTCTACTTCCGGGGTCTATGGTTCCGGTTGACAACGAGTGAGAAAACGTAACGATGCCTCCCAAGACCAGGATATTTTGTTGTATGTGTAGCAACTATAGGGGAAAATAACTTCAAAACGAATATCACTGCACAGGTTTCCAGCAATCGAAAGAGTAAAAAAAGTTTGGTTGCAACGATGCAAGCTACAAATGTAGTGATGACAACGTTTAAATACACAAAGAATAGTTTATTTTGCTCAGACTATTTTGTCGACAGAGACGGACCATCTCCTATCAACCCTGTTCCATCATTGTTTGGAAGTAAATAATTCAGAACTTCGGTAAGATTTTTCTTGAATATTAAGAATACCAATATAATATACCTGTGATAATCAATATTGACAGGTCATTATATCAATACGTAGATCTATATATTTTGTACCCCACTGTGTACAGGTACACAATTTAACACTAGCTGACAGGATGTGATCACATGTGGTAAACATTCATGACTCATGTCACCTGTAATAACTAATTACTTGCATCATCGCTGCATAGGGGGTCGGAGGCAAAAGCTATCACCTTAAAAAAATTTATAAATGAAATGTTATGTAATAATAAATATTGCCATATGCCAATATAGGATGTATGAAAATTGCAGGTCATATATATAATGCTAATAATGAATTATCAGAGTGAATAATCAGACATATTTAATTGATTTTATCATTGCGATTGTATGTGTTAAGTTGAATAGTTTTGATATGTAATTAGTGCTAAATCTTGTAATAAAATTTAGGTAATGTTTTATGTCCTTTATATGTTATATGTCCTTTATAATTTTTAAAGAAAATTCACTTATATTCATTATAGATCAGTGTTAAACAACTTGTATTCATCAATATGTATGAATATATGGTTAAGCTTCAAGTAGGTTATTTATACAATAAAGTTTGTGAAATTGATGCAGATAGATTATTAAGTTAGAAATAGCGGAAATGAAACTGAGTCTCTTATAATTACTTTTTATTCTAGAAACTTGATAAAAACCAAGAAGATAAAGAAACTGAGGTACCAGAGATTCTTGAACAAGAAATTGAATGTAACATCAGTTCTAACAGTGATGCTTCTATGAACAGGTAACAGGGGTTTGTTACATCTGAATCAGTTTTAGATACATTCCTTCGAGTCCATGATTACTTGCGACATCCAGATATGAAAAACAACTCTACAATCAGAATTCAGTATGTTCAGATAATGCTATCAAGTAGAACAATTGGAACTCAAACAGAAGGTGACTCGTTAGTTCGTCATTTTGTACATGTTGAAAGTCAGACAGTTGATGTTATTGTTCGTGTTGATGCTAGCGAACAGGAATCCCTCCCATACTGACAAAATGACATCAAATCAGATGGACAGAAAGTTATATTTTATACCGGCATTCCAGACGGAGACACATTCGATGCTTTGTTTGATGAGCTAACAGATGATGCTGAGGAAAGAACAACTAGAGGAGGTAACATCGAAATTGCAATGGAAGTGTTGGCCGTCCACGCATCTTACGTGCAATAGATTAGTTTTTATGGTGCTAATGCTACTAAGATTGGGTCTCCTGTTAGAGGACTTGGAATTTGGGTTCAATACCTCAACCACAAAATGTGGGGACATTTTCAACAGATGGATAGACTTTGTAGACAGTCAGCTATCGTTTTTGTTATGTGGCCTAGAGGAGATGATATAGATAGTAACATGCCTAAAATGTTTGAAGAAAAGTTTCCCACAGCAAGAGTGGTTATTGACGCTACAGAGATACAGACAGAGACACCGTCGTCATTACAGGTGAAATAACTTATGCACAGTGACTGTAAGTATCGTATGACCTGGAAGTCTGGTAGGAATAAGCTCAGATGGTGTTGTGACTTACGTATCAGATCTTTGATGCGGGAGCATTAGTAACAAACATATCACCACAGAAAGTGGTTTAGTTAAACTGTGTGAAGCAGGTGATGCCATCATGGCTGATAATGGGTTCATCATTTCTGATTTAACCACACCAAGAGGAGTAAAGCTGATGATTTCACCGTTCAAGAGGAAAAAGCACAAATTTCTAAACATGGTGGTAAAGGAATAAAGAATTTCCGCATTGTACAGGGTGTCATGCCAATCACTATGGCAAATCGTACATCAAAGGTATAGTGACTCTGCGCAAGACAAACACACTTACGACCTCCCTTGGTTCCAGAAAATAGATCTACACGAATGTAGATATTGATCAACTATATATATTCTAGCTTACTGCCTCTGGTTGTTCGACATGTATATGTGATTGTTACATTTTCAAATAATCAATTTGGTTTAATTTTGAAATAATTCAGTTGTGTTTTGTGGCGGAAGCTAATGTTCAATATTATATATATATTTACTGCATTGTTATCTGGCAATGTTATCTACCCTGTACATTCAGTTGTATGGGCCATGAACAATGCTCATTCCCCGAACACCAACTCTGGAAAATTGAAAGGAATGTGTTTATATAGGAAACCTTTGATGTTTAGTTATAGCCTGTTTCAACGAAGAATGTCAACTCATTTTGTAGATATGACATTAAAGTCAATAATAAAATGGATAAAAAGTTTGTATTTCTTACATATAAATGTAATACACATTAAATTTAGCACTAAGTAATAGAAAATAATCATTAAATATTATTTTTTACATTATATGAAAAAGAAAAATAACATTACATTATATGAAAAACAAAATTCCTTAATTTAAACCACATTGATACTAATGTCAGCAATAAAATACAGTTCAAATTCCTACATATATCAGTAATACACATTTAATACAGCACTAAAAGATAATTATAAAACATTAATATAAACAGTAAACCAGTTACTTTCTGGAGCTAAAGTAGATGAAGAATTTTGCCTGAATCATGATGATTTTAGTTGGAATGGATTTTTGGAATTCAGAAGTTTTGCCAAAAAGTATAATATCTTCCTTTATTTCGAATGTTTGGTCAGTTTTTAAGTATATTCATCTACGTATGTCTTGCCAGAAGTTATTTGTTATTTGACACTGTTAAAAAAGTTCTTCTATAGTTTCTTTGCTTTCTTGGCAAACATTACATTAATCATATTGTTTGATTCCAATTATTTTCAAATAATGATTAAATGGATGTATTCTTGTAAGAAGCCTGAACGTGAACCATTGAATGCTATTTTTAAGTCCATATATTAAGTTTTCTTAATCAATCATTTTGAGTCCACCCTCACTATAGTCTTGAACAATTATTGAGCGTTTTATTCTATCAATTGGTGATTGCCAGACAAAATTGTATTTTATTTTGTTCAATGATTGAATTACGTCTTAACTTGGAGTAGGGAGTGATATAAACAGGTGATTCATTTTTGCAATGATTTGAGATTTAAGAACAGTTGTTCTCCCTATAGGTATTATTATTATTTTAGAATCTTTGCAAAGACGTTATGTAAATACCACCCTTTAATTTGTTCAATTATGTGCACATTGCTTGCTGAAATGTAGAAAAGTGATTGTAAGCCTTTGTTTTTTGTTTTCACAATTATAACCATTACTATTATCCATGTGTTGTAAAGCGCTTTAGAGTAATTTTACAAATTATATACGGCGCTATATAAATGTTGTATATTATTATTATAATAATTATTGAAATACTAATAATTTTGTTGAAATTTACAGTAACCATGTCTTCTAAATTGA